AATCGACCACCAGGTCGCCGGTGTCGCTGGCGCCTAGAAGATCGCCGTTGTTGCCGCGTCGCAAAGTGACCGAAGCACCCGTTCCGCAAACCAGCCAGGAAGAGTCGTCCGAGGAACCGGAAACCTCCAGCGAGACGGAAGCTACCGAGGCTACGTCCGCCGAAACCAGCACAGCCGCGAGCACGAGACACGAAGAGACCAGAGGATTCGGTGGACTGTTGGCGCCCAGACGCAGGATAGCGCCTCGACGCCCAGGACAGATCGCACCTCGTGAATAATGCCGAGGCCTGCGCTTCTCGCGAACGCGGACTCGGTGAACGAGGATGATAAAAAAAAAAAAACAGCTTCCATCCATCGAGACACTTGGCGAGAATCGTCACCGCGGGCGAGATCTAAGACGACTCGGGTGACTTGAACGCGGCTTTACGAGTCGAAGAGGCGTTATAGAAATCATAGATAACGAGAGAGTCTCGTCGGAGATGGAAACGTACCGGCCGATCGACAAGAGCGTCGATTGGAGATCGACTCTCCGCGGCTACGCTCTGCATCGTGATAGGAAAACTCGGCGGAATTGAGTTTGAGGAAAAACCTCCGACAATGGATTCGCGACAGATAGATACAGGGGGTGGACGAAATAATGTGAACACCTGTGGACAATCGATAACGGAGTTGGGTTCGCATTTGTCTTTGATACAACTTCCTATCCTAAAGTCACGTGCCTTTTCAATGCCTTTCAATGGAATGTAATCCCATTCTTCTATTGGAGTCTCTTTCAATTGTTTTCGAAATATTGAAAGAATTAATTTGCTTTTCATTCTATTCTCGGAAACTACCAACGGTAAGACGATGATATTTAGATCAGGTGATTGTGCTGATCAGGAAAGACGTTGAAGTTTATCTTGGGACCATTTTCTAGAACCAATAATTTCCATTAGAATGTAGTCCCTTTCGAAAAGTGAATTATGCTTTTCACCTTTTACTTTCGAAAACTACCAATAGAAGTAGTTTCTTCCTTTGATTTTACTGAACGGTAAAGGTGTCGAAGAAAAATTGAATTAAGGATGCATTATCGCTTTGAAAAGTAGCACCGTTGTTGGCAAACAGTACGTGAATCATGGCATAAACCAGATCATCTAGAATATCCAAGCAGACGATGTCAGTGATAAGACCATTGTGAATGATCACAAAACCACCCCCATGTTTATCAGTTTGGAAACAGATAGGTTGAATGGCAGATGTTCATATTATTCCATTTATCTCCTGTATGTACACTCAGGGTGGTTAATCCGTTGCATCTCGTAAAATTGCCGAACAGCTAAATTACGCCGCTTCCGTAAAAGTTTAGTTTCCCGAATCGTACCTTTACCATGGAAACGTCCAAAGTAAGTACTGTTGTAAATGCACCGAGAACGATCGACGGGCAGCAGCAAACGTGCTACTGTTATTGTATTTTCCGAATTTAAGCGCGGAAGAACGTGTTATGTACACTTATCCTATTATGCATTTGCAAGCTAAAAAAAATCGATGTACATAGTGATTCTTTGCAACGTTACTCGCATCCCTCGATTGGTACTTTAAGCGTGTATGTCCGTGCATTATCGCAACGCGTTGATCGATGTAATCGCGATGCCATAGTCGAGATTTTTCGAGAATTTTTAAGAGGACGTGCGCGACAATCGCAATTGGAAATGATAATACGATTGATAATACGTCATCTTTATTTAATAGCTAAGCGACGACAATCACGGAAAGTCATCGCGTCTACGCCATTGCTGAAGCGATCGACGATACGTATCCCCTCGAGCACGTACTTTTACAACCAAGTACGACGCGTGTCGTATCGTAATAATATTTTTGTAATTACAATGTTCCACGATACACTGTAAATATGATATTGCAATTAAACATATATAAAATTAATAATATTCGTCTATTATTTCAACCTCTTCGAATCTGATGCATAGTAGTTTGTAACATATGTACATAGATTTCGAGATTATTTTGTCCAACGAATCAATTTATTTCTTACAATAATAACTGTCACGTATCCACCATTGAATTCTTTTTAAACATTTTCTGTGAAAATTAGTGTCATTTGTCGAAGAAAAGTACAAATGGTTCGATACTATTGCAACGTAAGGAATAAAATAGATTTTAAATAATAAAAATCATATTTATTCTTTAGATAAAAATTTAATTCGTAACGTAGAATGTGTTAGTCTCTATTGTTTTTACACTAACGAATGCATAATGTTAGATTTATTGCTTCTCTTAGAAATTAATTTAATTAGAAACGCTTTGAAGTTATGGATTAATGTCGTAGTATAACAATAACTGTAACTATATTCGTAATTTAAGGTTTGAACTCGAGGTTGATATCAATTACGAGGAACATCACTCAATTGAAAAATATTAGACACTTATATTTATATCGGCTGATATTCATGTTTAAAGAGAGAAACCTACTCCCTGAAGTTTCGAACGAAATAATTACTTAATTAAATTTGTCAAAATTGTTTCAAAAGCTATCATATCCTTGAAAATTACAAAGTGCAAAAGTAATGTAAATATAACGGTAATTTGATTAAATTTGATTCTTCCTTTTATTATTTAAATTACCTTATATCTTAATTAAAAACCAAATGTAAATCTAAACAGAGCTTGAAAAATGTATTTATGTAATTAGTAAAGTGAAAAAAGAAATGGTTAAAAATAAGTAACAATCGAGGAACTGTTCTTTAAAGTAAATGTCAAATAAAACACTTAATGTAATTGTTTCGTGGATTTATTTAATGTAAGATTTTAACAAAACTTCATTTGATTGTTTTTTGATTAAATATGAATCATATGAGCCTATCGGACCAATTCTCTGTCTTTTCTTTCAATCGCACTACATTAGAAAAAGCTGTTATGACTCCTTCAACAGTTGATATCTTTTGAAGAAATATTGAAGGTAGGGTTAAATTACTTTCTTTTCATTTTTTTAAGTAGCCATTCCGACCACTCAGTCTCAGAGGACCATTGTACTCGGGCCCGATACGGACAGGAGGTAAATTACTTCTTCACATTATAATTTACATTTTTTAATGTGCAATTACCAGTGATTCTCAGCTTTTTTATTAGAACATAAAAATTTGGCACTCGTCTCACAGTATTACACTCTCAAAATAAGTATTGTTTCTTTGTACGGTATACATGAAAACTATTTTCACTAATGACACAGGAGGCAAATTTCAATATTTCCGTGAATATTTTGTTTGTGTTCGTCGAATATTCGCGAAACCGTCTGGAGTTGCTGGTTCGTCTTGGCAAAAATTTCAACAAGAGCAAAGGGTTAAAATTTGAAACTAAACGTAAAGAAGTTACACGGTAACAGTCAGCGTTGTTGCCACAATCATTTCTCGAGTATTGTGAATGTAATATAATATGTGTAGATATATGTCTACATATTGATTTATTATGGACGTGTGTGAAACCAGTAAGATCGTACTTTTACGAAAATTTCCAATTATATTTTTTAACGTAACTATCTGGAAACAACTACTTTAAAACAGTTGAGAGCTTCTGGTAACAAAATTAAAATATAATCCGGAGTGCAAAGTATTGGATGATGTTATTTTTTACAATTAGCCAAGCGTACTGGAGAATCTGATATGTTTCTTCAGGTTTCTTTAGACACTCGCTTTGTTATCTCTGCCCCTATACTTCATCTAAAGATATTCTTGGGGTAGGGGTGCAGAGATGGATTTGCGATGGTCGTAGGGTGCGATCATGTAGTTGGTGACGTCAGAGTTTTACCACGTTTTCACGCGATCGCAGCGTATTGTGAATTTTTGAAAATTGTTCTTTCAGGGGCTACAGTAAATTTTGAGACAATGGGTATTTTAAGAATACCCATACAGAATCGCCACGGTCATGCGGGTACCATCGAGTCATTGGTGGTTTATGACCGCAGTGACCGGCCCGAGCGTTACGAGCCGTAACATACAGTGGTGTGCAAAAGTTTCCGGACCAATAGATTTTTCATTTGATATTCCGAAAGTGACATCTAAAATAACTTTAACTAACATTGGGTGTAAGGGTATGATTAAGTTTTCCGTCACATAGAATATCTAAATTTCAAAAAGATTGGAAAAATATGCATTCTCAGACGAGTCAAAGTTTAATTTACGCGGAAATGATGGCAAACAACATGTGTAACATTCAATTGGAAAACGAAATAATGTAAAATATCAAATACCAACAGTAAATTATGATGCAAGGAACTTAATGATTTGGAGAATGTTTTTCGCTCAAGGAGTGGTCGCCTTGTAGAAACTAAACAAATTGTGAACTGTGTAAAGTATCGAGATATTTCATACAAAAATCTATTACAATATTCAAAAACGTATTCGTAATAAAAACATTCAAAAAAAGGAAAACGGAATTTGAATACACAAGTCCACCAATTTTTTAAACATGTAGTTACGATATGATATCTTTCTTTTTTTCTTTATTTATCGTACCCTTATACCTAATATCAATTAAAGTTACTTTAGATATCAATTTAGGATTATAAAGTGACAAATCTATCTGTCCGGAACTCTGTCCTAACTTTTGCACACCACTGTATATTTAGATGGACATCTACACTAGAAATAAGTATATAAATGTATATATGTATATAGATACATATTCATTTTTTATTTAAAGTTTTGTCAACGTAACTTTAGCTGAGCTTGAGGGTGAACTTTTCTCTGATTTCTCGCGATATTTTAATAACTTCTACTAGTGAGACATCGCCTCCCGTGAGATGAAATATATTTTATATCTTGTATGTGATCACCACAGTGCGGTAAAACATTTTTTACTCCACACTTCAGTTGCGATTGAATAAATAATCGATAAAGGTTATAGAGAAAACGTTGTTACCAATTGGTCAAGAAGTAACGGTGCAGATAATAGTACCAACAATCAACGCACGGTTCGTGACAATCGGAACGAGGTGAACTACAAATAGCAGCAAAATTTAGTGAAGATGGTGAGACACGGACACCTAGTCGAACGCTTCTAACGGTTTAATGTCTAAATTAATAGTGAATAATAATCATTCATACAGCGGTCAATATGTGAATGAGGATTCATGAGTTTGCTGCTAGTAGGAATAAGTGTGCGTCAATTTGGAGAGCTGGACGATAGTCGCGAAAAACGAAGGTACGGCAGGATGGTTTGTTTATGGAGATCAGCTGTGTTACCAAACATTCGTATCGCTTTCGCTGCTGCGTCTACGACGCTTCTATTTTCGGCGAATAAAGGTCAGCCTATAGCAAAGACAAAGCGATGCTCGACGCTCGACGCACGAACGATACGTCGTAAGCTGGACATTGTTGACATATTCAATGAACTTCGATTAAATTTCGAAAAAAATACATCAAAAATGAAACGCATCGTCTTATCGCCGAGTCGACTGAATTTTTGTCACTTGTTGATCGACTTCTTGATTTTTGACACTTTTCGTCCAGCTATTATAATTATTATTCGTACGTCGTGTTTCGTACTCCTCGAAATTATCGATGTAATATTGTGAGTAATACTAAATCGCGTACAATATATCAGTGATTCATACGGCAATTTTGTATGCATGTTTTGAACGCGTCACAATGAATATCGGTTCGAAAAGTACGTTTCAAAATTTTAGTTGCGCATATCCATGGAGAAAACAAGCAGAATAACCCGTTGTTGGATTTGTAATCAATTTGGAAATATCTCAATTTAATCTTCAGATAAGAGCAATGTTAAAAGTATTGTTTGTGGTGCAAGAAAAGGGGTAGACAAAGAAGGGTTTGCGACAGTCTTGTTTTTTCTGTCTTGGATAGAGACAATGAAATAGTCAGTTGATATATGCAATTATGGTGGCTCACATTTTAGATGCTTGCGGAGCAACCATCGAACGGTAGTTAATTAATCTTAATGACATGAAAGAATGAAACGAGAAACTGTCATTACTTGTGTAGAGCCAAACCGACGAGCAAAGACGGTAAGGCATCGTAGTGTCCTGCCCCTTACATTACATTTTATACATATTTTTGTACCATACCATCCACATTTTCAAATTTGTCATTTATTCAATGGCAAACATTTGTTTCAATTGGATACCTTATAAATTTTGTGTTCTGCCTGCATAATTTATGTAAAACGTATGTCTCATTCTGTTGTTTAAAAATCATGAAGCAGAGTAGTAATTAGACTGTATTTATAGATGACAACGGTTTTGGATGGCAGCTATCAACGTATGGAGCCATATGAAGGGGAGGAGGGAGATGGAGAAGATGACGATGAGCACGAAGAAACACCTCAGGAGTCTGGTGTTATGATCCATGTAGTACCAGAGGGGAATAAAGCCAGATGGAATCACATAGAAGATTTGGATTCTTTTTTTACAAGAATGTACCATTATCACCAAAAGCATGGATTCGCCTGTATGATGTTGCAAGAAATGCTTGAACTAGGACAGTTCATTTTTGTAGTTACATTTTCGACTTTTCTCTTTCATTGCATCGATTATTCCGTACTATTTAAGTAAGGTTTTATCAATAATATGTTACAAGTAACACTAAGAACGAACCTCTTATGAATGCTTATAGAAATGTAATTTGTTTATTTTTCAGGGATAAAGTAACTAACAGCACCTCGCACAAAACGTCGATAAACGACGCCATATTGTCAACCAGCGAGTGTACATCGTCTATGAGTCTGGTCACATGGATTTGTATTTTAGTAGCTGCAATTTTTTGGATTTTACGTTTAGTAAAAGTTTTATACCATTTCACGCAGTTTTGGGATATAAAGCAGTTTTTTAATACAGCTCTCAAAATCGATGATTGCGATTTGGATAACCTGACCTGGCATGAAGTTCAAAAGCGAGTCAGAGAAGTGCAGAAAGAACAAGAAATGTGTATTCACAAAAGAGAGCTTACTGAATTAGATATATACCATAGAATATTAAGGTTTAAAAATTACATGGTGGCTATGATAAATAAATCCTTGCTACCTGTGCGACTCAAAGTCCCTATTATAGGAGAAGTTATTTTCATGACAAGAGGATTAAAGTACAATATGGAATTGCTTCTATTTTGTAAGTTTTTACACATTCAGATATACATTAATTAAAACGATATTCTCTCTTCATTGTCAGCTATTTTTGCATAGGGGGGCCGTGGTCTCCGTTTGAAAACAATTGGCACCTTAAAGGAGATTACAAAAAACTGAACAAAAGGCAGGAACTTGCAAAAACGCTATCCAAACATATCTTGTGTGTAGGGATAGCGAATTTTCTACTTTGTCCATTGATTCTACTGTGGCAGATACTCTATTCTTTTTTCAATTACGGAGAGGTGAGTAGTTCAACACTTTTCTGACAGATGTTTCACTTCATATTACTCATCGTAACAGTGATAATCATATTGAAAACAATTTCTGTCGCAATCATAGATCATCAAACGAGAGCCAGGAACTTTGGGTTCGAGAATGTGGTCTTTGTACGGTCGATTGTATCTTCGTCACTTCAATGAACTTGATCACGAATTGAACGCGCGGCTCAATCGTGCATACCGTCCAGCTTCAAAGTACATGAGTATATTTACATCTCCAATTATGACTGTTATCGCAAAGAACGTTGCTTTCGTGGCTGGAAGTATATTAGCAGTTTTATTAATATTAACCGTATACGATGAAGACGTTCTAACGGTGGAACATGTACTGACTACCATGACCATACTAGGTGCGATGGTAGCAGGAGCGAGGGTATTTATACCCGATGAAAATTTAGTTTGGTGTCCAGAGACTCTTCTCACCGCTGTCCTAGCGCATACACATTACAGACCGGATAGCTGGCGGGGCCATGCTCACACTCAAACCACAAGAGCGCAGGTGGCACAGCTGTTTCAGTATCGTGCAGTTCATCTTTTAGAAGAATTAATTTCTCCCCTACTTACACCGTTCATTTTGTGCTTCCACATGAGGCATCGAGCCATAGATATCGTCGACTTTTATCGAAACTTTACGATCGAAGTCACAGGTGTGGGTGATGTTTGTAGCTTTGCGCAAATGGACGTACGAAAGCATGGAAATCCAATGTGGCAAACGGTGACACAAAGCCCCATCGAAGACTCCAGTGCGGGATATGACAATCGGTATGGCTTGGAGCCAGAGAAACTTCAAATTCCAAAGTCGAATCAGTACACGCAGGCGGAAGACGGAAAAACGGAATTATCCCTTATACATTTTACTTTAACGAATCCTGAATGGAAACCGCCAAGTCACGCCGAAAATTTTGTAACAGCCTTAAGGGTCAGAGCTAAGAAAGAAGTACACTGTGTACACGGCGAGATCAATCCTCTCCTGTCAAGTTTAAATAGTTTGTCTGGTCTGGGACCTAGCGTAAGTATCATGTCGGTCGAGGAGTTTCGATGAGATGTATAAAATTTAATTTTTTTCTTTCGTTTCAGTATAATGACATAGTTTCGAACATTATTCGAAGTACAATGGTGAATCAAGTAAGTATACCGAGTGCGAGCAACGTATTCGTGAACCAACCTGGTACTTCAGCCGCTTCGGTAGTGGTAGACGAATCGTTGAGTATGAAATCGGACATGTTATCGCACGCGATTCGACGCGGCTTGAGCAAAGCAGAGGGTCCAATACACAATGAAAAGGGATTTCTTTATGGATTGCAACAAGGAATATCCAATCAATCTTTAGGCGCGTCCGTCTTTGGATCGGGCCACGAATTGTCTGCAGAGTTGACTGTACCTTTGGAATTGACTGCTGCCGATATGTCTTTATCTACATTGTACCTGCATGAACTTCATCACAGACAAGTACGGTTAACATTACACTTTTCAACAAACTATTTCTAATACCGTTATCAAAGCGACTTTGAAATGTTCAATTTTTCCAAATTCCAGATTAAAAGGAGGGGCATTCAAGAAATGGGAACGAGAAGTATATGGCAAAGAAGTCCTGTACAAGAACTTGCTACGCTTCCAGAAGTTAGGCAAGAGAGGGCACCCTTGCTGTTACATCAAGATTCCTCTATAAGAAATAGTAAAGAATCGACATACGACTTGAACACTCATTGGGATAGTATCTGAATAATTCGTGCAGTGATATCATCACCTTTAAGAGAATAAAATGTTTTTATCCGCTTTACAATGGCGACGACCTCGTGATTTATTTTATTATCAAGGGTATAGCTTCAACGTTTAAGAATCTGTGTTATCGATGTAAATACAGTATCGAAATGTTGCGTGACTAAACTGGCGTAGTAAGGTCAACAATTTCGAAAAATGCCTACTCTAATGTCGAAGGCCTAAATACGAGTATATTTTATGCGTAGGACGTCTACGATTACGAGTAAAAATTTCTCAGAATATTCATTTCGGAATGACATTAGCAGTAGCAATGTGGAAAATACTTATTGTAAAAAATTGAAACTAATCCTTCCTGCCTGAAATTTACAACACAAAGTTGCCTTCCTTCGAAACGTTTATTTCTGCGTTGCAAAAGGCAAACGAATTGTGTAAATTGTTTAGGGCACAAACGAAAAAAGGGATATTCTTGCGTTTAATTGCAAAATATGAATCTGTATGTGGTAATCTTACCTCTAGTTTCCAATACCACGATTCTCTAGTCATATGAAATTAATCGCGCGCCATAGCATAAACGACTATTTATTTGTTGAATGTAGTTGCTCGATAAACACGGTGGATGAACGTTAACGGCTAAGGCACGCGAGAAATCGCCTGTATATACGCGTATTTCCATAATCTTAACACTGACACGGTGCAGCTAACAACCTCGAGAGAAAATTTTATTCTTGACAAACTTGCGGGTTGTACCGAGGAATAAGTTAAGGACAATTTAGCTCGTGTTAATTCTTTGTTATGGGCAACTTTCATTGCGCAATAACTCGTATTATTGCCGGCTTTTCATCGGCATTAAGCGACTACGATTCATACTTTAATGACCTTTAAACAAAGTAACGCGTAACAAAAATAAATAAGAACCTAGTTTTTGCTAGGAAAATCTTATTATCTCTATGAATCTATAAAAGAACTATTATTATTAATGATAATAATAATAATTATTATTATTTAAGGGTTATCTGTAATTTATCATTATGACAAATAAATACGTTTCATAATAAATTTGTTACATTTTTTGTTTCGTATGTACAAAAAGCAGGACAAGGACAGAAAAGTTTTAGGTACGATTCTGTGCACGATTAACAAACGAGCATCTAAACATATGACTAGGAAACAAATGGGTGCATTTGTAAAATATGAACACTCACCAAGGCTGCAGAAATTCGTCGGCAGACTCGATGTCGGGGGATGCAACGAAGTATAATCTGCGTTGCAATCGAAATATTAGCGAGAAGATGACGAAGAAGGATTTCGTATACGACATTCGTCCTCCGATTCAATCTTCTAGGAAGGTAAGCTGTAGTTGCGTTCATTGTCATTGGTCACTTTTCTCCTGACTCAATTATGTACACAATTTGCACAAAACACTTCTTCTCGCTTGTTTTAATCACGACTTAGTGTGAACACTATTGATGGAATTCGTACATGAGAATAGAATATCGGAAGAACATTTGAAACGAAGGTGACGCTACTGGTACAACAGATCGACATGCGTCATGGCGTCGTTTTTGCCCGGCGAAATTGTTTCACGGATCTCGTTTAACGATTAAACCCGCAATGTTATGAAAAACGTTTTATTGTTATTTTAGTTTTACAATCACATTAACATTTGGTAACTTCCACCAACAGTAGTTCCCTTCTCACAAACAGTAGTCACGACTTGAATGACCTATTCGTACTAAAAATGTGCGGTAGGCGCGAAACCTATGATTAGTCGAACAAGATTTATGACTGACATTCGACCAATTGTGAGCCAAAGCTCACTAATGCATAGAAACTAATATACAAATATAGTGAATTCATTTAGTAATTTTTACTTGTGTATATTGTGTATATTAAGTGGACTTAAATTCGCTCAACTCTTTGCCATGATTTTCCATATAATGATCTCGCACTATATTTTGCGTGGTTTACGTATCACTTTGCGTAAAATGTAGAGGATCTATAGAGGTATTATAGATAGAATAGGAGAACTAGACCTTCGGTCATACCATAGTTAAAAAGAGAAAGAAAACCACGATACCGTGTCTCCCCTGTTTTATCTATAATATTAATATTCATAGAAATTTCTATGAAAAGATCACGAAAAAATATAAAATAATCAGTATTTCAGACCTGAACACTTTCAAAATGGCATTTTAAAATATCAAAAAGGATATTTTAATTAGCATTTGAAATTTGCATTTGAAAAGTAACGAATTATCTACATTATTTAAAATTACTTATATTATTTACGTGTATGTAATTTTTGTAAGTAATTTTTGTATGTAAAATTATTATATATAAATAGTAACTTTTGTGACTCCTACTAAATCGATATATATTCGAGGTACTTTATGCTTATGTACATATACATATAATATACCCATAGAGATATTCTCTGTGATTGTACCACTATGTAGCCTGTGGTTGGTCTCGATCAAAATTTCAGGTTAAAATTTGACAGGAAATCGATGATTAATTACATGGTACTACAAAATTAACTGCAAGTGTATTTCGGTCCATTCACCGCTAGATGGCTATAGGTCATCGTAGGCTATAGTATAATTGCCCATTTTCAATTCAGTCCTTGATTATCAATTCAAAGATTAATCTACTGTTTATTATGTAAACATACACCATTGTGTCATAAGAATTAATTTCGGATATATCTAACCTATTGTGATTATTGCTTTGCGATATTTAAAATGTAGAACATTCTATTGGGCCCAGTATTAAACTATTATTAATTAAATATGTATTATACAATACTGATGGATATACAAGAATTTTACTATATCTGAAATCAACATATGATGTTATCTATGCACAATTAAAATCTGAATTTTAAGAGGAAACACATTAGGAAGGCAAATACTAAATGTTCTTCGTAACTTTTTCCAGAGACAAAAATTTTATTAATTTTTGTTTAATTGAGAATATTAAGAATATTAACATTGAGAAATGAATTGATCGAAATTACCAAATACCAAATACTTTAACACATACCTAAGATATACTCAAAGTTAAAAATATTACATAAATTCTTCTCTGTAAAAAAGAATCCAAGAGAAACACTTAAAGGAGTATCCTGAATTAGGGGGTCTAAAACAGCGGATATTCGGGAATTTTTTTAAAATAGAAAAAAATAATTAATTCTATCGAACTTTTTATCCTATTTTCATACATATTTGAGTAGTTTGTACAAATTTTTTCAACAAGAAATATTCAAATTGAGTCGACTGTGACGCATATTTGTAGAGCACCTCACAATTAATACCTCCTATCGGCGGGAAAGACGCAGGTCGTAATTTTGGTTTGACACAAAAAGACCAAAAGAAATTTCCATTTTCACACATTATTCTTCTATGTGAACTAAGAAAATTCGTACAAAACAATTTTTAAACAACTTTTTTATCAAGTTAAATTGATTTTTTTCACCCAAACAACTCGTTCTTTTTTTCAAACTTGCAGTAATTTCACATTTCACAATTTTTGCGGGTTTTTCTTAGTTCATATAGAAGAAAAATGTATGAAAATGAAAATTACTTTTGGTTTTTTTGTGTCAAACCAAAATTACGACCTGCATCTTTGCCGCCGATAGGAGGTTTTAATTGTGAGGTGCTCTACAAATATGCGTCACAGTCGACTCAATTTGAATATTTCTTGTTGAAAAAATTTGTACAAACTACTCAAATATGTATGAAAATAGGATAAAAAGTTTGATAGAATTAATTATTTTTTTCCATCCTAAAAAAATTCACGAAAAACCGCTTTTTTTAGACCTCCTAATTCAGGATACGCCCTTAATACTTGGACTAAACGATCCTAAATGAACAATATCTTTCAGTTTGTACGCAGCGTACAAATGTATCATCTGTTAACGATATTTTACCATTTGTATACAAACATGTACATAGTCTGCGCACGAAAAGAATTTGACTGGCGACACGTCCAGATTTCGTTATTCTTTTAGCATTGCGGACCCGAGCGTTGTTGTTTTACCTAATGTATCCTAGACAGACTGTATAATGAGATCAAATGGCCCCCCAGTCAGCAATTTTACCAGTGGCAAAACCTACGACCATCACCGGTCTCATTCTTTTCGCGCGACCACTGTGGTATGTTGCGTTGTTGTCTGCTGTGCTTCAACATAACTTTCAGCAGTATAAGATGTACATCTCATACATCTCACGTATATATATATATATCAATGTAGGTCATTATTTACATTCTCGTTTATAACTCATTAGATACAGCATATGTATAAACAATCACAACGAAGTAATACTATGGAATTAAACTAGCCCTTATTTTTATCTTTTACGTTATAGAATAAATGCAATTCATTTTGAACATTAAGGGTTTGAAGAGAATGTTACCAAACGCTTTTTAATATGTTTTTCAATATACTTTTCATCAATGTATCCCTTTTGAACTAATTATGTTAAACTCGTTGCAACATTTTCCACGATTCCTTTCATTTTAGTCGCGTTTTTCTTGGAAGTTTTTTTAACTATATTAAATTAATTTCTGACGCTATTACTTACACATATCTTAACAAATTAAATACATATTTTTAATACAAAATTCACATACTTTTAAAGATAAGCTACTTGTTTTATAGGCTACTTATATATCCGCCTGTTCTTTTTCATATATATATATTAGCGAATATAAAATACCATGGCTTCATGTATTTTTAAATGCTTAATGGCTTCGTGTAGTTAAATTTTTGAAAAATATTCAAAACGAATTTTTTGATTTTTCCTGATGTTTCTTGTATGTGTCTTGTTGGATTTCGCTCTTTTTACTCTGGCTCCTCCTGATGTGTACAAAAGCAAATGAATTGGATAACGAGATCCAATTCTTGGATTGTCACTTCTCTCGTAAAATGTCTCGATGCCATCAAGACACTCTACGAGGTCGTTACTGTACGTGTTCTCTCGTGCGTCTTCGAAACGTGGATGTTTTTCATCTGATAATGAGAATCGGTGTTTTGACGCAAATACGTGGAGTAAATAAACAACGTACTTCTAGTTGGAAGAAGGTAAATTGCCAATCGTGTTACCACTACAGCTGCGACGCAAACAAACGGCGGACTCGAAAGTACCGCAGTATACGGTGATCTCGGAAAAGAGCGACGTCGGCGGTAGCGGTGACGCCACGAATGTAAGCAATTTTATTGTAGTTATTTATAGACATGTTATTCTATGATACGATGAAGAGATGACACGTGATGTAAGTTAATATATGTATTTCTGATTCTCAATCAATAAGTATTTTCCGCGATACTCGACGGATCTAAGAGATGATGAAAGAAACTAAGTACCACTTATTTTTAAGATGAAAATTTGTACTTCCATGTGATTTTCAACACTGAATTTAATGGTACAATATTTCTACGTCAAACTTACTAATATTCAACTTAATAAATGCAAGTTTTGAGCCTGGGGATTTTTAAAATTAATTTACGTTTATCACTCACTTTGAACCATTTTTCATAAACACCTTATACATTTTTCGGGGAAAGGAAGACCTTTCCTTCCGTTGGTTTTCGTAAGACAACATTACTTGCCAATGTTCACAATTTACTTACCTATAGTACCACATTCCTCATTTATACCTGTGCCTGTTATTTCTTTCTCTCTACAATATAGCCACGCAGTTTTTTCCAAGTCCAGACTAAACTGATAAGCGTTTGAACGTCAGATTTCAGAGCAACGACCATTGGGATTCGAGTGCAATTTCTGTCGCGAGCAAATTGCCACTTTACTGTCGCTGTCGACACACGTCAAGTTTCATCGTCGAAGATATTGCAAGTACTGTTACTGGATAATAATGGAGAACGAAACTATGAACGACCACATCGTGAGCGTCCACCGAATCGACCCAGGTATCTCAACGATCATCTAATACGTGTGTCGGCTTCTTCTTCTAAGATTGCAGTGCCATCGAAGCTCTAACTCACCTTTTAGTTATCCAAAGATAAAACTGCACGATAAACAAAGTTGTTT